AAAAAATAGATGAAAGAATTTTTTAAAAAATACGTTCAGCCCACGAGATCCGACGGCGCACAGCCCTCCACCCCCCCCACCCACCTACCCATCCCCTGCCCCCCCCTCCCCTTGTACGCCGTGTTGGCCAAGAAGGCCGACAAGTGCTTGTGTGAGTCAGCCGCTTTGAGGGGCATCCCGCTCATTACCGCTCCCATTACCGATGCGAGAGAACTGTGCAGCGCGGGATTGGAGTTTGGGATGTGGGAAGGGGGTGGGTGGGCGATGGGGTGGTGTGGTGATGGGGAGGGGGGTGGGGATGGGGAAGGGGAAGGGGGTCCGGAGGGCGATGGGGACGTGGAGGGAGATGGGGATGGGGAGGGCGAATGGGTAGGGGAAGGCGATGGTGTAGGGCGATATGATGGGCGTTAGGAGAGAGGATGAGGGATCGATGGGGGAGGGGGAAACGGGGGCGGGCGATGGGGCATGGACGGGGGAGGGGGAAGGAACAGGCGCTGGCTTGTGCAGGAGGCGGCGGTCTCTCTGTTTGCTTGGCTGGTTTGCTTGCTCCCTCTCTCTTTCTCTTTCGTTTTTTTATCTTGTGAGTTTTCGTTTTGTTTTGTTTTTGTTTTGCTTTTTTCTTTCTGATTTTTTTTTTTCCTTTTTTATTTGAACGTTCTCATTTTCTCATTTTTTCTCACCTCCCTCTTTCCTTCATCTTTCCCTTCTTCACTCTTCCTTTCTTTCTTCGCTCCTTCATTCCCTCTTTTTTCTACCTTCTTTCTCTCTTTCCTCGTTTCCCTCTCTCTCTCTCTCTTTCTTTCTCTCTTTCTTTCTCTCTTTCTTTTTCTCTCTTCTTTCTTTCTTTCTCTCTTTCTTATTCTTCTCATCTTTCTTTCTCTCTTTCTTTCTCCTCTTTCTTTCTCTCTCTCTTTCTCTCTCTCTTTCTCTCTCTCTTTCTCTCTCTCTTCTCTCTCTCTCTCTCTCTCTCTCTCTCTCTCTCTCTCTCTCTCTCCTCTCTCTCTCTCTCTCTCTCTCTCTCTCTCTCTCTCTCTCTCTCTCTCTCTCGGGGGAGGGGCCAGAGGTTTTCCGACGTAAACAAACAGATCAGTTACCTTTTTCCATGTAAGTGTTTCCGTCAAACAGAAACAAGTGAGGAAAGTTTCCCGTCAGAGCAGCAGCGGTTATTATGATAATAATCCTAACAATAATAGTAGTAAAAGTCTTTTGATAAAAGTTCTGAGAAGAAAATAGTATAAAAAAAAGAAAAAAAAAATAGATGAAAGAATTTTAAAAAATAACGTTCAGCCCACGAGATCCGACGGCGCACCCCTCCCCACCCCACCTACCCAGCCCCTGCCCCCTACCCCCCCTTGTACGCCGTGTTGGCCAAGAAGCCGACAAGTGCTTGGGTGAGTCAGCCGCTTGAGGGAGCATCTCCGCTCATTACCGGCTCCTCATTACCGAGCGAGAGACTGCAGCGCGGGCGATGGGGTTGGGGATGAGGATGGGGAAGGGGGATGGGGTAGGGTGTAGGGTGGGGGAGGGAGATGGGGTTTGGGGATGGGGATAGGGAGGGGATGGGGACGGGGAGGGGATGGGGAGGGCGAATGGGTAGGGGAAGGCGATGGTGTAGGGCGATATGATGGGCGTTGAGGAGGAGGAGGAGGGAGCGATGGGGGAGGGGGAAGGGGCGGGCGATGGGGCATGGGACGGGGGAGGGGGAAGGAACAGGCGCTGGCTTGTGCAGGAGGCGGCGGTCTCTCTGTTTGCTTGGCTGGTTTGCTTGCTCCCTCTCTCTTTCTCTTTCGTTTTTTTATCTTGTTAGTTTTGTTTTGTTTTGGTTTTGGTTTGCTTTTTTCTTTCTGATTTTTTTTTCCTTCTTTATTTGAACGTTCTCATTTTCTCATTTTTTCTCACCTCCCTCTTTCCTTCATCTTTCCCTTCTTCACTCTTCCTTTCTTTCTTCGCTCCTTCATTCCCTCTTTTTTCTACCTTCTTTCTCTCTTTCCTCGTTTCCCTCTCTCTCTTTTTCTCTTTTCTCCTTATCTCTTGTATATTTCTTTGTCTTTTCCTTTCTGGGGAAGGAGGAGGAAGGAAGGGAGAAAGAAGAGAGAAGAAAGAAAGAAGGAAGGAAGAGAAGAGAGAGGAAAAGAAGGAGGGAGAATAGAGGATGGAGGAGGACGTTTGAAGGAGGAGGAAGAAGAGGGAGATGAAGGAGAGAGGGTAACGTAGAAGAAGAGGGGAAAAAAAATCGAAGTGGGAGGGTGGATGGGGAGAGAACGAAAGGGAATGAACACGAGAGGGCTGGAGAGTTGAAGTATCGTCACGTATTTTATTTTCGGAGTTACTTTTTGTTATTATTTTTTTTGTTGTTTTATTTTTTCATATATTTTTGCTGTCCGTGGCCCCCTCTTTCTTTCCCCTTCTGCTTTTTTTTGTCTCTTCCTCCATTTTATCATCGATTTCTCTCTCTCTCTCTCTCTCTCTCTCTCTCTCTCTCTCTCTCTCTCTCTCTCTCTCTCTCTCTCTCTCTCTCTCTCTCTCTCTCTCTCTCTATCCCTCTCCCTCTCTCCTAACCCTTATCTCTCTCTTTCTCTCTCTCTCTCTCTCTCTCTCTCTCTCTCTCTCTCTCTCTCTCTCTCTCCTCTCTCTCTCTCTCTCTCTCTCTCTCTCTCTCTCTCTCCCTCCCCCTCCCTCCCTCTCTCTCTCTCCCTCCCTCTCTCTCTCTCTCTCTCCTCTCTCTCTCTCTCTCTCTCTCTCTCTCTCTCTCTCTCTCTCTCATCTCTCTCTCTCTCTCTCTATCCCTCTCCCTCTCTCCTAACCCTTATCTCTCTCTCTCTCTCTCTCTCTCTCTCTCTCTCTCGTCTCTCTCTCTCTCTCTCTCTCTCTCTCTCTCTCTCTCTCTCTCTCTATCCCTCTCCCTCTCTCCTAACCCTTATCTCTCTCTCTCTCTCTCTCTCTCTCTCTCGTCTCTCTCTCTCTCTCTCTCTCTCTCTCTCTCTCTCTCTCTCTCTCTCCCTCCCTCTCTCTCTCTCTCTCTCCCTCCCTCTCTCTCTCTCTCTCTCTCTCTCTATCCCTCTCCCTCTCTCCTAACCCTTATCTCTCTCTTTCTCTCTCTCTCTCTCTCTCTCTCTCTCTCTCTCTTTCTCTCTCTCTCTCTCTCTCTCTCTCTCTCTCTCTCTCTCTCTCTCTCTCTCTCTCTCTCTCTCTCTCTCTCCTCTCTCTCTCTCTCTCTCTCTATCCCTCTCCCTCTCCCTCTCTCTCTCTCTCTCTCTCTCTCTCTCTCTCTCTCTCTCATCTCTCTCTCTCTCTCTCTCTCTTTCTCTCTCTCTTTCTCTCTCTCTCTCTATCCCTCTCCCAACCTTTATCTCTCTCTCTCTTACTTACCTTGTCTTCTCTTCCTCATTTCCATTTCCTCCTTCATCGTTTGAATGCGCGTTCTGCTTCCTGTTTTATCTGTAACTTCCCTATGCTTCTTCCTCGTTTCCTCTTCTCTCAGTTCTTCCCTTTCCCATTCCCCCGCCTTTTTCCCCTTCTCTCTTCTCATTTCCCCTCGCCTCTCCTCTCTCCCTTTTCTTCCCCTCTTCTGTCTTCTCCCCTCTTCCTTCCTCCCCTCTCCTCTCCCTTTCTTGTCTTCTCCCCTCTTCTTTCTTCCCTCCCCCTCTATTCCTCTCTCCTCTCCGCTTCCCTCTTTTCTCCCCTCCCCTCTCCTTCCCTCCCTCCTCTCCCCCCTCTACTCTCCTCTCCCCTCCCCTTTCCCTGCCCATTCCTCTCCCCTCCCCTCTCCCCTGCCCATTCCTCTCCCCTCCCCTCTCCCCTGCCCATTCCTCTCCCCTCCCTCCCCTCTATCACCCTCTCCTCTCCCCTGATCTCTCCTCTATTCCCCTCTCCTTTCCCCTCCCCTCCCCTCTATTCCCCTCTCCTCTCCCCTCCCTCCCCCTCCCTCCCCTCTATTACCCTCTCCTCTCCCCTGCCCACCCCTCTATTCCCCTCTCCTCCCCCCTCCCTCCCCTCTATTACCCTCTCCTCTCCCCTCCCTCCCCTCTATTCCCCTCTCCTTACCCCTCCCTCCCCCTCCCTCCCCTCCCTTCTTCCATTCATTCCAAAGGAAAGTCCGGTGATTATATTTAGATTTCGAGTTAGGATGAAAAGGATGCCGGGAGGGGGGTGGGGGGTGGAGGGGGGAACGGGATACCTGAGAGGAGAAGGAAGGAAGGGAGGGGAGAGAAGGGAATGGGGGGAAGACGAGACGGAGGGAGGGAGAAGAAAGGGAGGGGGAGGATGTGGGGGAGGGAGGGAGGGAAGGAGGGAAGAGGCGACGTAGGAGTGACGGAGGAGAAAAAAAGGGGGGAGGGAATGAGGTAGGGGGGGGAGGGGATTCTGCTTCCCATTGAGTACACGCAAAAGATGGAGATCAAGAGAGAAAGGAAAAAGAAAGAAAGGGGGGGAAGAGAGGAGGGAGGGGGAGAGAAGGAGGGGGGGCGGGGGAGGAAAATCATTAACAATTTTTTTTTCCCAAAGGATCATTTTTGTCTGACGTTTAGAGCTCCATCAGCCTTTGTGAAAACGCCGTAAAAAAACGCTACCTGTGCGCGCGCGTGCTTGTGTGGGTGTGCGTGTGAGTGTCTTCAGGAGGGAGAGGAGAGTAAGTTGGGTAAGGGTGTGTGTGTGCGCATGCGTTTGTCTGTGTGCGTGTGTGTGCGTGCGTGCGTGCGGGCATTTGTATTTGTATGTGTATGTGTATGTGCGTGCGTGCGTTCATTTGTCTGTGTGCGAGCTAGTCCGTATGCCTTTATATATGTCCAGTACATTATGATTAATTACAAAAAAATAATCATCTCCATATCCCCATCCCCATCACCACCACCTCAACCCCCACCCCCACCACCACATCCACCACCATCCCCACCCCTATCACCCCCACCACCATATCCATCACCACCCCCACCCCCACCACCTCCCACCCCTATCACCAGCCCCCCCACCACCCCCATCGCTGATCGTCCGTTTCCCCGCAGGTGCACTGGGTGGAGCAGCAGGTGGAGAAGCGGCGCGTGAAGAGGGACGGCAGCGCGGAGGACGTCGCCGCGGCCCACGCCAGGCAGCCGCGGCAATTCGGCGACTTCTCGAGGTTCTTCTTCTCCCCGACCGCCGCGCCGTCGAGGAGGGGCTCAAGGTGAGGCCCAGGAGGGTTTGCGTTCGGGTTTGGCTGTGTCTGTGTGATGGTTGGGTGGTTGGTTGTCTGGTTGGTGCTGTGTTGGGCCGTCCCTCTGTCTTTCTGTTTGTCTGTCTCTCATTCTCTCTCTCTCTCTCTCTCTCTCTCTCTCTCTCTCTCTCTCTCTCTCTCTCTCTCTTTCTCTCCAACCTCCGGGCTAGTACAGTGGTAGCGTGTCGGCTTCTCATCCGAGGGGTCGGCGATTCGCGCCCCGCCCCGGTGCGAGAAGTTGTAATTGTCGCCTGGAGGTTACTGGTGTAGCTGGGCACCACGGCGGGTAAGGACTGAGCTCAGCTGAGTCAGCACCAGCTGACACACGTTAGCGAGTCGGCATTAGTCGACACAGTCCCCTCATGAGCATAACCCGGGCGAGGCTCAGCTTCGCATATCCTTCTCTCTCTCTCTCTCTCTCTCTCTCTCTCTCTCTCTCGTCTCTCTCTCTCTCTCTCTCTCTCTCTCTCTCTCTCTCTCTCTCTCTCTCTCTCTCTTCTCTCTCTCTCTCTCTCTCTCTCTCTCTCTCTCTCTCTCTCTCTCTCTCTCTCTCTCTCTCTCTCCCTCTCTCTCTCTCACTCTCTCCTCTCTCTCTCTCTCTCTCTCTCTCTCTCTCTCTCTCTCTCTCTCTCTCTCTCTCTCTCTCTCTCTCTCTCTCTCTCTCTCTCTCCCTCTCTCCCTCTCTCTCTTTCTCCCTCCCTCCCTCCTTCGTTCCTTCCTTCCTTCCTTCCTTCCCTCCCTCCTCTTCTGTCTTTCTCCCTCTCTCTTCCTCTTTCTCCCTTTTCCCCTGTCATAATCTGTTCTTTGTCTCCTTCATCCTCTGCCTTGCCTCTTTTATCGTCCTTCTCTCCCCCCTCATCACCTTTCCCTAATCTTCATCATCATCATCTCCTCTCTTCTCTTTTCATCTCTGTTTTTATTCTTTTATTTTGTATTTGTTTACTTTTTATTTTTTTAGTCAGACATTGTCCTGTTTTCCCGTCACATGTTCTGCCTTGTCCAAGTTTGTTTTTTTTCTCTCTCTCTCGCTTTCTCTTTAATTCTTTCTCTAACTCTCTCATCCCGTTGTTTTTCCCCTCTTTTTTGACACAATTAGCTCTGTCTGGAAGTCAGTCTCGCAAATACACGTTGCAAATTGCAATTGTGCGGATGAGAAGTGTGCGCTTGGGAGAGGAGGGGGGGGGCGGAGAGGGGGTAAGGGGGGAGGGTAAGGGGATGTGAGAGGGGGGGAGGTTAGGGAAGGGAGGGGTGAGGGGGGAAGGGTAAGGGAAGGGGGGGGTGAGGGAGGGAGAGGGGGGGTTAAGGGAAGGGTGTGTGAGGGAGAGAGGGGGGGTTAAGGGAAGAGGGAGAGGTGGAGGAGGAGAAGAGTGACAGGGAGAGAGAAAAGGGAGGAGGGGAATAGAGATGGAAGGGGAGAGGGGAGGAAAGGGAAAGAGAGGGAGGGGGGAAGGGGAAGGGGTAGGGAGGTAATCGACGGCTGGAAATTGAAGTTGGTATTTCAGGAAGGAATTGAGGGGGGGGGGAGGGAGGGATCATTGCCTAGCTTGGGATGCTAAGTGTGTGTGATTTTCTTCTTCTCCTTCTCCTTCCTCTTCTTCTCCCTCTTCTTCTTTCTTTTTCTTTCTTGTGTGTAGGGCGGGGGGTGGGGAGTGCATGTCTGGATCTCTGTTTGTATGGATGATAGAATGGAGGAAGAGAGAAAAATAAGGAGAAAAAAATAGAGTGGGAGTAGGGGGAGGAGGAGAGGTGCCAGGGGGTGAAATAACGATATAATGAAAAAAATAAGATAACAAATGATGTTAATGATATTTTGATCTGATCTTTCGTTATTATTTCTATCTCTCTTTCTGTCTCGCTAATCCTCCTTTCTCTTTGTCTCCCTCTCTCCTTCATTCTCTCTCTCTCTCTCTCTCTCTCTCTCTCTCTCTCTCTCTCTCTCTCTCTCTCTCTCTCTCTCTCTCTCTCTTCTCTCTCTCTCTTCTCTCTCTCTCTCCCTCCCCCTTCCTCTCCCTCCCCCTTCCTCTCCCTCTCCCTCTCCCTCTCCCTCTCCCTCTCCCTCTCCCTCTCCCTCCCTCCCCTCACCCTCACCCTCTCCCTCTCCCTCTCCCTCCCTCCCCTCACCCTCACCCTCTCCCTCTCCCTCTCCCTCCCTCCCCTCACCCTCTCCCTCTCCCTCTCCCTCTCCCTCCCTCCCCTCACCCTCTCCCTCTCCCTCTCCCTCTCCCTCTTCCCCTCACCCTCGCCTGCTCTTCCAACCGGAACCCAAGTTATAATATATGCAGATAACATCATTCTGCAATATAACAGCGTCAAAAACACGCAGAGGGCATTAACTGAACTGCGGGAACTGTTTGAGTATGGGATTGGTCGCTAATGAAGAACAAAAAAAAACAAAAAACAATTCTGAACAATGGTAAGAGGTAGAGGTTATATCACGTTTAGAGTTAAAATGTCGAGTTTCCATTTACAAATATCTGGGAACGATGATGAATATTCATAATGCCCAAAACGAGATAGATTGATGGAGAAGTGTTTTGTCTTGCTGGTCTGAAACCGTCGATGCCTCAGGGTAAGGATATCTGTATTAAGAAGGATTTATGTACGTCAGCGGGCGAGATGATCAATCGACCGCGTTCTCCTGTCCTTAAAACACGCACCGGCAGCCCACCACGTAGGCTAGAGATATATAGTGGGGAATAAAGGAGGAATTAGAGAAACCATTCGCTTGCTGTTATCAGGATGGCGAGGCGAGGGGAGAGGAAGGTCTGGGTTGCTGTGTGGTTGGCTTCAGGGCGAGAGGGTCAGAGCCACTGAGCTTTGGGGAGGAAGGTTTTCCAAACTGTTGCAGACTTGGATTTTCGTTCGATATTGTATTGTGGTTCGAAATCTGATATTTATGGAACAGGGGAACCAGTTGATGGGGTTATCGCTATCAGTAGGTTTAGGTAAGGTTAAAAGGGAAAGTTGAATGCAGTCGTTACGCAATGAAACGAATATATATATATTTTTTTAGGGGGAAATAAAATCTTAGATAAAGTGG